GAGAATCTGCGATTCAAAAATATCTCCTCGTTGCTTCCACCCCTCCCCCTCTCCCAATCCCCCTGACCCCCCATCCGCGCAACCCCCAGTCCGGCCACTCTCTCCCAACCCCCTCCATCGCCCCCGTCTCCCCTCCCACCTCCCCTTCCCCCTGGCGCTCCTCCCCTCCCCCCGCTTCCCCCTCTTCCCCCGCGCCCTCCCCCCCACAGGCGCGGGGAGAGCTCAGCGGAAGCAGCAGAGCAGCTTCTGCTGTGCCAGGGGGAGCTAGGGCGGGGGAAGAGTGCATCGGGGGAGGTGCTTCTGGGGGAGGCGGCAACTGGGGAGGGCAGGGAGCAAGTGGATCGCGAGTTTCGGTGCGCAGCAGAGAGGTCGAAAGACAGGTCGCCCCCGCCAGCACTGCTGCTGGTAGTCCTATGGTCCCTATTATCTCTACCATCAGCGGCAGCAGCAGCGCCAGTATTAGCACGAGCAGCAGCAGCATCGTCTTCATCGTTTTCATCGTCTGAGTCGATTTCCTTCAAGATGTGGGCAAAGGATGGCGAGATGAGCCGCAGCCTCCGCTGCTCCTCTGATTCCACACCACTCTGCTGCTGCTTCTGCCCCTGCTGCGTCTGTCCCTGCTGCTGTGGCTGCTGCTGCGCCTGACCCTGCTGCTGCTTCAACTGGTCTGTCTCATCCTCATCGTCATCCTCATCCTCGTCATCTCCCACCTCATTTAGAATATAAGCAAACGAGGGCGACACCAGCCGCAGCCGCCGCTGCTTCTCCTCCTCTAACGCGTCAGCCAAAGACGGGCCCTCCGTCTCCCTTCCCCCTCCTGCCCCTTCAACCCCCACCCCGAACGGACTCACCCTGATGCCCCCATCAAGAGCAATAGAACCAGCAGCAGCACTGTCAGCACCAACCGCCGCTGCCGCAGCAGCAGCAGCAGCTGCTGCCCGAGACGCTGCAGATACCACTACTCTTGCTGGTTCCCCCATTCGCTTCCCCTCCTCTCCCTCCCCTTCCCTCCCTTCCTCCCCATCACTCTCATCATCCACCTGGTTGAGAATGGAGGCGAAGGAGGGGGACGTGAGGTACAGCCGCCGCTGCCTCTCTGCCAGCGTCTCACTACGCTCCAGTTCACCAGCACCACTCTCAGCACCACTCTCAGCGGCACCACCACCACCACCACCAGGCACAGCAGCAGCCGCCGCAGCAGCCGCACCACCACACGCAGCAGGAACAATAGAAGCAGCAGAGTATGAAGCCTGGGCGGGCGGCATGGGAGCAGGCGAGCCTGCCTCCCCTTTGACTCCCTGCAGTGACACATCCGACAGCCGCCGCTCCTCCTCCTCGTAATCACTCTTCTGGTTACCACCCTTGTGGTAACCACCCTCTTCCCCTTCCCCCAGCAGCACCCTTTCTTCTGTGTACCCTGCCTCGTCCAAGTCACTCCCCTCATCCTCCCACTCCCCCTCATCCTCATTCTCTCTCTCATCCTCACACTCTCCCTCAGGGACCGAATCCATGCTTCCACTTGACCTGCCCGACCCTCTCCTCCCTCTCCCAATCCTCCTTTCTCCTCCTCTTCCTCCCCCCTTTCCTACTCGTTGTCCCTCGTTTCTCACTCTCGGCTGATAACCCCCTCGTCCCCCCTCTCTGCTCTGGCTAGCGGATGGCAGATCGAACTGAATCTGCCTTTGACGCGTCTGTTGACTGCGCCACTCCCCACCTCCCCTCTCCATCCCCTCTCCCTCAAACCCATCCTCCTCCCCCTCCTCTCCCTCCTCTCTCTTCTCTCTCTCCTCTCTCTCCTCTCCCTCCTCTTCGAAAAAGTCATCCCCATCCTCCTCCATCCAAGTAGGTCTCTTCTTGCTCCCCCCTCTTTCCGGAAAATACCTCACACTCCCCGCCCCACTCCCGCTATAATCACTATCCGCATCGTCACTCCTCCCACTCCCACTCTTACTGCTCCTCGTACTGCTCCTCTCACTCCTCCCCTCACTCCTCCCACCCCTTCCATCCCCCGTCCTAATCGCACTCCTTTCCCTTTCATCTCTTATCGAATCATCCCTCTCCCTCCGTCCCACGCCGTCTCCTCTCTTCCTCCATCCATCCCCGCTATAGGGCTCCTCAATCTGCTCTACAAAGTCCCAATTCCCATCACTGCTGCCATCACTCCCACTTCCACGCCCATTCTCCCTCCTCTCCCGCGCATGACTATGGCCCCTCTCCGTGCTATGCTCGTCCTGCCGCCCGTATCCCACTTCCTGCCGCCCGTGAGCGTTCACGTGCCGGCCACTGTCACCTTCTTGAAGGCCACTGCCCCCATGCGACCGGCCGCTGACACCACCCTGCCGGCCACCGCCAGCGGCATGCCGTCCGCTGCCGCCCTCCCTACCGCTGCCGCCCTCCCTACCGCTGCCGCCCTCCCTACCGCTGCCGCCTTCCCTAGTGCTGCTGCCTGCAGAGCTCCGCCCGCTGCCGTCCCGCGCCACCCGCCGCTCTTCCCCTTCTCCCGATCCACTGCGCACGGCTTGCGCGGGCACTCGCGTTCCCGACCTTCCAGATCCCGAGCCTGCAGATTCCGACCCTCCGGATCCCGAACCTCCAGAACCCGAGCCGCTCACCCGGACATGCCGAGCCTGATTAGCAGGTCCGCCAGGCCGTTCCGCCTCAGGCGTGCGCATTCGCTGCAGCGACGGCTGTGGCCCTCCGCGCATGTTCCCCACCCCCGTGTGAGCGGAATCCGCGCGGGGGAAACCTCCGCCAGGAGCATCAGGAACAGAGGCCCCGCGGAAGAGAATGGGGGACTTGGAGCGGCTCCGCTCAACGGCGCTTCCGCCGCCGCCATCGCGAGAAATAGCGCGACCCATCAGCGGGGATTTCGACCTGCTCCGCGCAACCCCGCCGCCTTTCTCCGCTCCGCCAACCCCCGCCGCCGGTCTCCCCCGTTGCTCTCCTCCGACCTGGCGCGCGGCTTTCGCGGGGAGCTCGTTCAACCAGTTGGAAAGGTGCGACACGCCGCCCATGGCGCCGCCGACCGCGGCGCCCATTCCGCCGACCGCGGCGCCCATTCCGCCGACCGCGGCGCCCATTGCGCCGCCTATCGCGCTGCCCATTGTCGGCGTCGTGGGGCGCCGGGGCTGCGTAGCATTCGGCGGGACGAACGGGTGGTTACTAACGGGACTAACGGGGCCGGCGGCGCCGGGAGCGGCGGGAGCGGCGGCTAACTTGTGCTGGAGATTAAGGATCTTCTGCTGCTGGCGCGACTCGAGAGCATTGGGCTGGTGAAGCTTGTGAATGAGCTGTGACGCTTTATTTGCCTGCTGCTGCTGCTGGTGTTGCTGTTGCTGCTGCTGCTGCTGCTGCTGCTGAAACGTAAGCATTGCGCCGTGCGCGGGACGGCGGTCCCGCGTTGTTTGCATCGTGCAAAAGCGGATACTGTCTGAAAAAAGTCGGGCTGCAGCTAACTGTGAGCGAAAAGAACCTCGTGGGCGAGCGCGGTAATCAGAAATGAGCTAGTTCAAAATAAGCTGTCCTCTCTTTAAGTGAGTGGAAGAACGAAAATTAGGGTAGGAAGCTCAGCCTGAGGAACAGAGAGAAGCTGAATCGACATACCGCTGAACCGCCTTACCCCAGCTCTAGATCATTGGGTTACTGGCCAGTTACGACGGACGAAAGATAACGGGAAACGCATTTTCGTGATTCTCGCTCAGAGAGAATGGCGAGGAGAGCAAGCCATTCTAGTTTACAAGAAAGCGATGGGCTTGCGGGAGGCTGCTTTGAGTGAACTTATGAGGGCAACTCACATCAAGCCCAACAGGCGAGACGAGTTGTCTACAATTCTGAGAGGTACCATGCAAATGCGCAACAATTCCTGAGTGGCAGCAGCAAGGAACAAAACTCGTTCCAAGGGAACAAGACTTGCTATGGAATGGCACAAGGGGATGGAGGAAGGCAAGGCAATACAACGCGGGAGCAGCAATGATGACGTGCAGTGCAGACAACGCGGGAACCTGAACTAATTTACCGTACTGAACCGCTATATGCCATGTAGCATCGCGCCGAACTTTCAGAAAGCATACAACGCCAAATTTTGACCTGATTTGGACACAAAAAACAGAGGTGTACGAAGCAGGGAAAAAGGGATCTTGATTTGCGATATGGAGACCCTGCCAGATTCGAGGTGGGACCTAGGTTGTTCCTGCCTCTGTTGGGTGTCAGTAGACGGAGTTTAGACTGGTAGGGAGGAATTCTGAAAATGCTGGCACCTATGCTGGTTCCTGGTGGGACCTAGGTTGTTCCTACCTCTGATGGGTTGTAAAATCATGTCGTGTTGGTCTGCTATCGTTCCTGGTGATTTCACTCAACTTGTCCAGAATGAGGATATTCGATAGCTTGTTCTTGCGAGACTTTCTACTCCAGAACGGAAAACATTAATCCGGGGCTTCCAGAAAAGCCTGGACGGAAGTCTTCATTGTGCCAAACAAAATTCTATGCGCTTCAAACAAAAAGCCATTTTCGCCCTACTGGAATTCCAGGAGTGCAAACAAATGTAGAATGGCAAAGTCTCTTTCTGATGCAACAGACATTCTCCATGATGCATAGCAGCCCTGATACATACAGCTAATGCTCGTTTGGCGCACCCTACTTTGCTTTGTGCTTTGGGCTTATATGTGGTTTAGGCATTTCGCATTGTTCGTTCAGGTTCGCCACAACCTTGACGTGCTCCTAAACAACTTAGGTTGTTACTCGTTTGTTTTATCCAAACTGTAGACGGGTTGGCCGGTTTTGTTGTTTGTAAGTTGCACGGTTACCACTTTTTTCTGTCCAATATAGCATGCAAGTACACAAACACACTCAAATTGTAACGAACATCAAACCCAACCCACCAACCAATGGAATCATCACACTTGTACTCGAGCTACTTCTCCGTCATCGATTTCCGAGCTCTGCAATGTGCACAAGATGTGCACATTAACAGCAGGAGGAGAGTAGAACTCCTCCGAAGGGACTCAAACCCCTTCACAGGCGCATCCATTCGGCGCTGCCAGGTAGCCACCCATGACGGCCGGCACATCGCCGTCAATCAGCTCCTGGCGGCACGCCGCCTGCTGAGTCAGAGTCACCCACGATGGGGTGGGCTCCGTCATCCATGCCGGAAGCACGCGGCCACGGCGACGAGGTGTCTCGGCCTGTGGGGTGGCGCCCTCAGGGATGGCAGGCGGCGGGGTCATGTTGAGGTTAATCGGCAGGCTGGCGCGCTCCATACGCGCCCTGATGATGGGGTTGCGGATGTCGAAGAGCGCGCACAAGTCGCGCGGGGTGATGCTGGTTGCCTTCACGTAGCCGATGAGCATCTCGGAGGTCGCTCGAGCGTAGCGCCGTGCCTCGCGGAACTCGGGGTTGCTGTCTTCGTAGACGGCTTCCATGGTGGCGGGCGCTTCCCACATCTCCGCAGAAGGCGCGGTTGGCGGCTCGGTGGCCAGCGGATCCTCGCCCGGCTCTGCGCAGGTAGGCTGGTTGTCGTCAATGGCGACCAATGCCGCTGCCGGCATTGCGCTTGAACCAAGGCCGAGGCGATCGATGAGGATTCCAACATCCCCGATCTCCTCATTAAGGCCGATGTCCGCGGCTCGGCCTGCACCAACTGCGTCGTCGCCCACGGGAGGCAGCCGGTGCGCCACCAACAGCGCTGAATTGTGCGCAACTCGGTGTTCATCCACGCGTCGTTGAGCCAGGCCACGACGTCGCGGAGGTTGGGCTTGAAGCGAGCCACGGCCGGGGTCGCTCCTTCCGCATTCCAGCGGGCGGTGAAGGCGCGCAGCCAATGCTGCCGGTACTGCGCCTTCGCCATCGCGATGAGCCCCTGGTCGAGTGGCTGGGTGAAGGCGGTGGTGTTCGGTGGGAGATACACCAGGCGGATGTTGGAGAGAGAGCACGTGCGGAACCCGAATAGGTCATCGGAGGTGGCGCCGCGCGACCTGAGGATATGGCTGCTCGCGTTGTCAAGAAGAATCACAATATGACGATCCTCGGCATACATGGCAGCGTTCAGCTGCTCGATGAAGAGGGTGAAAAGCTGCCATGGGGGACGGGTGTAACATAAAATTGGGAGGTTAGTACACCATCACTAAATCCATGAGCAAAGTGTTGAAGTCACTCAAATAAAAACGCACCGGTGAGGTCATCCAGCCTTTGGCGGTGTTGCGCTAGTAGCAATGCTCCACCAGATCGAAGCTCGGGCGGAAGTCGTGGGGGCGCTTCGCCTTGGAGATCACCAAGGGGCGGAAGGAGTGAGAGCCGTCCGCGTTGACGAGGAAGCCGACGGTGAGGCGATCTTTCACCTCCTTCCTTCCCGCCACACGGCCGGCGCCGTACGTCTTGCGAGGAAGCACCGAAATGTAGAGTGCAGTTTCGTCGAAGTTGTAGGTGTCGCGCGGCCTCACAGAGAGGTGCATGAGGAGCTGCGGGAGCTTCTCCTGAGCAGTACGGACAACGGCGAGGTCCTGGTCGGCCGCCTCGCCACATGCGGCGATGCACCTGACACCCTGGCGGCGCAATGCACGGCGGACCCAACCGATGGAGCACCGGAAAGTCGGAGGCAGAGACATGCTATGCGCCAAGTTTGCAACGTGCTCGCGAATTGTCGCAAGGGTCAACGGCACGCCAGCCGGTCCAGCATTGGCAATCCAGCGCGCCATTCCACGCTCGAGCTCAGGATGGGCTCCGCCGCGCACGCGCACGGTGTTGTTGTCGGATGCCGTAGATGCCCATCGCTCGAACTCCTTGAGCACTCGGTGTTGAGAATAGAACGAGAATGAATGAACTAAGAATTAAGTGAGTACAAATAGGAAACCCTAACTGGGTTGTACCCCCTATGGGATACCCCACTACGGCCTACACAATAGTATAAGCTATATATATGTTCTGACACACCCCCATAGGCAAAGTGGGGGAGAACAAGGGGTCACAAGACCAGTCAAGCAAGACAAAGCAAAGCTCAGGGTGGATCACAAAGTCACCACACAGTCCGAGCACAAGAGCAAGGCCAAAGGCCCGTTCACATGCAAGAGTACAGACATATATATAAAGCTAGACAAGAAAGAACAGGTATATATATGTCACAGTACAAGTAAAGTCAAGAGGAGAGCAAGTGAGGCAAGACATGCACAAGACCCAGCTGGGTGCAGAAGCGCTGATGGTCACAAGGCGCAAGTGCCTTGGTAAACACATCAGCAGTGTTGGCCTCAGAGGCCACGTACGCAAGCCGCAACTGTCCACGCTGCTGTAGCTCACGAGCAAGGAAGTAGCAAAGAGCAATGTGCTTCGTTCTGCGCTCCAGACGCTGCTCTCGACACAAGGCCAGCATGGCCTTGTTGTCTACGTACAGCACTGGAGGAGAACGAGGCGGCTCTCCAAGGTCAGTCAGCAGGTAGGTGAGCCAGCGAAGCTCCTGTGCAGCCATGGCCCCTGCGTAGATCTCAGCCTCACAACTGGAGCTGAGAACCGAAGACGAACGAGTAGCCCGCCACGAGACAGAGCCGGAACCAAGGCTGAAGCTGTAACCCTGTGACGACCGCTGCGTAGCCTGGTCGTCAGCCCAAGAAGCGTCCGCGTGACCTGGAAGGACCACTGGACTCCGCCCTCCAAGCACTAGCCCCATGCCCGACGTACTGCACAGGTAGCGCAATACCCTCTTCGCTGCAGCCATGTGCTCTGGTCGGTGTCTCCCAGGAGCAACATAGCGTGCAAGAATGCTCAGAGGGTATGCAAGGTCAGGTCGTGTGCAGGTCATCAGATACATGAGGCAGCCAACAAGCTCTGGGTACGGGCCACTCGACTCTACGGACTCATTCGAAGGCAGAGCTGAGAGCGAGTGGCGGGTAGACAGAGGAGTGGCCTGAGGCGAGGAGTACGTGAAGCCGAAGCGCTGAAGGACCTGCTGCACCATGTGTGACTGAGTCAAGGTAATGGTGCGGCGTGCTCTGTCCCGAGTGATCTGCAAGCCAAGGTAGCTGCGCAGTTCACCCAGGTCTGTGCACGTGTGTCTCTTCAACAGCTCGGACTTCACGTAGGCGAGTCAAGCAGTGTCCGCTGTGGCAAAGACCAAGTCGTCGACGTACACGAGGATGTAGAACGGCGGCAGTGAAGTGTCGTTGCGCAGAAACAGCGACGGGTCAGCAGTAGAAGGAGCAAACCCAAGAGCCGCAAGCGTAGTCCTCAGTGTGTCGTGCCACTCACGCGGTGCCTGGCGGAGACCGTAGACTGGCTGTCGGAGGCTCCACTGGGTGCCAGGAGGGAAAGTCCCAGTGAAGCCAGGTGGACGGCGCAGCCAGATCTCCTCGTGCAGGCTACCCTGCAGGAACGCAGTGCTGAAGTCGAGAGAGTGAAGCTCGTAGTCGCGCTGAGCGGCTATGTGCAGCAGCACCCGAAGAGTGGTCATCTTCGGGGTGGGAGAGAAGGTTTGAAAGTAGTCAACTCCCTGCCGCTGACTGAAGCCACGAGCGACGTACCGCGCCTTGAAGACAGGTGGAGAGCCTGGCGGCCGCTTCACCCTGAAGATCCACATGCCACTGACAATGTTCGCCCCAGGAGGGGGAACCGCGTCAACGTAGGTGCCTGTGGACTTCCAGGAAGCCATCTCTGCATCCATAGCTGCCTGCCACTGAGAGGAGTAGGGACCCTCTACGGCCTCCGCGTAGGAGCGCGGAGTCGGGATGTCTAGTGCATCCGGGTCTCCCTCAGGAGCAAGCAGTACAGACGCGAGATGAGGTGAAGCAGCAGCCAGACACTGTAACTCCTCCTGCCTGTCCTCTAGGACGTCCGTGCCAAGAGCACACTCACCCCCGACGGACGGAGGACAGACAGACGCAGACTCAGCAACAAGACTAGCAGCGTAGTCTAGACAACAGCGAGTAGCAAGGTCGACGAGCTCAGCGACAAGAGCAGACGCAACAGTGGACTCAAAAGAGGGGCCAGTGACGACAGTAGCAAGGAGACGCGTGACAGTAGGACTGGCAGCACGAAGGGAGTCCGACTAAGGGTCGGCAAGCGCAGGAAGAGAGGACTCAAGAGGAGAAGGCAAAGGGGCACGCAGAGGAGCAGTGGACGGACGCAGAGACATTCGGTGCGTGCCAAGGACAGGAGGAGGACGCTGACGCGAACCGCGACCATTAGCGTGAGCAGCACGAACAGGCGACGCCGGACGAGACGCAGGCTCATGACGCTCAGCAAGACCTCCAGTAGGACCAGTGTAAGGAGAGGGAGCAGGCAGTGGGGAGGAAGGCTCCAACAGTGATTGCGACTGGACAGGCTGTGGACACTCTACCGGAGGAGAAAGACCAAGAACCTTCTGCAGGAGCGGAACGAAGTACGGCCGAGGCCGCTCGGCAGCTCCAGACTCAGCAGGGACAGCACCAGCACCCTCAGCGGCAGGACCTCTAGCAGCACCAGCAGCAGAACCACCTCCAGGACAGACAGCTGGAGTCTCAGCACCAACACCTCCAGCAGCTCCAGCTCCAGTAGGACCCGCAGACCCAGCAGCTCCGGGACCGGCGGCACCAGCACCCTCGACGGTCGAAGAAGCTCCAGCTCCGGCAGTACGTCTCCAGCGGCGAGCAAACCACTCGCGCAGCTCCTGTGGAGAGAGGGGCTCCCGGCGAGACGCAGCAGCAGGAGAAACCCCAAGCTCAGCAGAAACAGACGCAGCACCCCCAGGCTCAGCAGCTCCAGACGTAGCACCCCCAGGCTCAGCAGCTCTAGACCCAGCACCCCCAGGCTCAGCAGCTCCAGACTCAGCACCCCCAGACTGAGCACCCCCAAGCTCAGCAGCTCCAGGCACAGCACCCCCCGGCTCAGCACCCCCAGGACCAGCACCCTCCGCAGTAGCACCCCCAGGCTCGGCACCCCCGCGCACAGCACCCCCAGAGTCAGCACCCCCAGGCTCAGCACCCGCAGCAGCACCAGAGTCACCTGTAACCTCGACCGGGTCAACTGCGTCTACCTGGGACACACCTGAGGGGGCAGGAACTTGAGGGGGGAGGGGGTCTACCGGGGGGGGAACCGGCACAAGGAAGTCCGGCGGCGTGGGAAGGGAAGGAGTGCGGTAGGGGAAGAGGCGGTAGAAGGGGACTGACTCGTCGAACGTGACGTCCTGGGAGGACAGAACACGACGAGAGGAGGGGTGGTAGAACTGCCACCCTGGAACGTCAGGGGGGAAGCCAAGGAAGACACAGAGAGCAGCACGAGGGGACAGCTTGTCCGCAGACAAGTCGCGGACAAATGCCCGAGATCCCCAGACACGGAACGCAGACGCATCGCCAACCTTCCCCGTCCACAGCAAGACTGGGGACATCGCAGGCCGAGAGACCCTGGGGTGAAGGTTGAGCTGATGCGCCGCATACCGAACCGCAAACGTCCACAGAAAATGGGGGGCAGCCGCATGCATCATGGACGTACGAGCGACATCCATGACCATGCCAATGCGGCGCTCAGCAATCCCATTCTGCTGTGGAGAGTCCGGAAGCGTGAAGGTCTGGCAAATCCCCCGTGCACGACAGTAGTCTCGCAGAAGGCGAGAGGAGAACTCCCCGCCTCTGCCCGAGTGCAGACGCAGATTAGGAAAGTCCGAGCCGAAGCTCCTCCTGAGCTGGAGACGAGCCTCGCGGATCCAGACGATCAGCATCTCAGTGACAGCACCCTTGCTACGCAAGGGGAGGACTGTGGTGTAACGCGAGTAGTCGTCAACCACCAACAGGAAGTTGCGCTCGTGACCCTGCCCACGGACGGGGGCTGGGCCCCACACGTCCATGTGAAGTGTCTGCAGAGGAGCCTCTGTCGAGGGGAACTGGGAGGAGTGAGGAGCAGCCCGGAGGCGCCCCTCGACACAGGGGACACAGGAAGGTCCTGGCCCCGAAGGAAGGGGAGGGAGAGACTGGGGAAGACCAGAGACAAGGACACGGGAAGCCATGCTCCGAAGACGGGGCAAGGAGGGGTGGCCCAGACGGTGGTGCCACAGGAGGGTCTCGTGAGACAGGAGGCGACACGAACAGGGGGCAGACTCAGGGCCAGACCGGGACGCAGCAGCAAACACCTGACCTGACGCAGCTACCTGACCAGACGCAGGGACAGGAGGAGACGTAGTGGTCAGGGTGTAGAGGCTCGACCCCGGCCGACGCGAGAACGTGGCCAGGTGCTGGCCTGTGCGTGCGTCCGTGCAGTGGGTCACCCGCTGACTCGCAGGAGTGAACTGGTGAACCCCCGCATCCTGTAGGTCCGCACCACTCACCAAGTTTGTCGAGAACAAGGGAAGGTACAGACAAGACAGGGTGCCCGAGGGGGCAGCCGGACACGGGAGGACAGTGGAAAAGTGAGAGAGGACAGGACCCCCAGAGGGGTCAGCCAGGGAGACCGCAACCGGCCGGCCAAGCGGCGTGAGGGTGGTGCGGTCTCGAAAGAAGGAGCGAGAAGCCCCGGAGTCAAGTGTGAAAGTGAGGGAGGACGAAGGCGACGCAGTACCTGAGAGCGCAGTCTCACCAGTACCTGAGAGCGCAGACGCACTGGCACCTAGAGCAGCAGCCTCACAAGCACCTAGCGCAGCAGTACCAATGCC